TTCCTCATCAGGTGCAGGCAGTGCTTGTTTCATTTCAAAACAACGCCATAGATGAGCTAGCTGCATCTGCCGACCGAATCCTAGAAATCACCAAATCCACTAGCGCCGAGGTCTTTTCCGTCAAAGAAAAACCTCAATCGACCCCGTCTGACATAACCTAACTATGCCACGCGCTTACACCATATCTTAGAGTTCGTAATGACCGTAGTCGGACAAAAAACCAGCGTAGAAGCTTTTCACGTAAGCGATCTGGCTCTCGACCACGAGAGACAGACAATCTTGACTGGTGCTGGTATCATAACCAGTACGGTAAGTTTTCCAGAAATTGCAGGAAACCTTTCAATTATCCTACCCCAAAAGCGACTGACACGAATAAGATTTCGGGAAACTTCCCAGCCGGCACGCGTTAACGGCAACCGTAGCCGGCGAACACAGCCGCCTCTTATATGTCACGGATGTGACTACGAAAGTGTGAGTGCATGTCGAAAATACATTCGTACTTGCGTAGTGACACAAGATGAGCGGGAAAAAAACGAATACATTTACAAATAGCGTAAAACGCTCGGAAAAAAATGGGTTCTTTTGGTTTTTTTATGTATAAATATTTATATATATATATATGTATATACGCTCAAAAAAATAAAAATGTTTTGTTTTTTTGGGTTTTTTTATATAAATTAAAAATTATCATATAAAAAATTTTTTTAATAATAAACTATGGAAGGGTAATTCAAGATAAAGCTTATGTCCTACGTGCAATATTCGTTAAGATGTTCTGGAAATCTTACTCTTCTTCCAGAACGCTTTGTTTTAGGTTTCTCTATCGACGTTGGCGAAGTTTCAAGTTGTGTGTCGATTGTCGTGTAGGGTACTACGAATGTAGTAGCTGTATCGTTTGCTTGTACCCAAAGAAAATCGACGTAGCTAGGGTTTCCTTCTAAGTACGCTGCTTTGAGTCAATCGATACTGATGCTATCGTTCGTGCCGTTCTTATCGACTACATAGTACTTAGGTTCGCGTTGAAGAACTTTGAAGGGTCCTTCGTAAGCTGATGCGAGAGGTCGTCGATGTGAGTCTCGACGAACGAAGACATATGTACTATGTCGTAATTCGGGTTGAACGAAAACATCAGTTCATTGAGGTCGAGTCTAAGCAGGCTTAACTGAACGCATAGCGTTTGAAAGCCTACTCGTGTAAGAGTTTAGATCCATGTTCAATGAAGAAGCTGAAGGATCCACGAATTCTCCTGGGAGTCGGAGTGTCGTTCCGTAAACGAGTTGAGATGCCGTGTATCCAATGTCAGCTTTCACTGCATTACGGATACCTAGCAAGACGAGTGGAAGAGCGTCTGTCCACTGTGAAACATTTGAAGCTGATAATGAAGCTTTTAGTTGTCGATGAAAACATTCTATCAACCCGTTTGCCTGTGGGTGGTAGGCGGTCGTTCGGAAGCGCGTGATTCCTAAAAGTGAGATTAGACAACGGAAAAGCCCAGATTCGAACTGGCGTCCGCGGTCTGTAGTTATGGTTGAAGGGCAGCCGAAATTTGCTACCCATCGTTCGAAGAAAGCGCGGAACACGATTTCAGCAGTAATGTCCTTAATCGGTAATGCTTCTGGCCATCGAGCAAAACGGACTACGCATGTTAAGATATATGAGTATCCGTTTGAGTCGGGTAAGGATCCTACCAAATGTAGATGGACGTGGTCGAAACGAGCGTCAGGGGTTTTGAAAGAGCCTAAGGGACATTTGTTGTGTCTTATGACCTTAGATTTCTGACAGCTTACACAGGAGCGTGCCTACTCCCTCACGTCTTTATTCATGCCAGGCCAACAAAAGCGTTCGGTTATAAGTTTGACTGTTGCACGAGCACCTGGATGAGAAAGATTGTGCAGCGTATTGAAGACGTTGTGGCGATAATGTTTTGGTACGATTGGACGATCCCTACCTGTAGATGTGTTACAGAGTAAGGTTTCCTTACCTGTTCCCATCTGCTTAATACTTAGTTTAAGAGTTGTCGAGGATAACTCATGCTGAAGATCAATGTCTTCTTTTTGAAGCTGAGCGAGTTTAAGAAGGTCGATTCCTTGGAAACTGTTCAAGGAGCTAATTCGAGACAAGGCGTCTGCGACTACATTGTTTGCTCCAGAAATATGTTGTATGTCTGAAGTAAACTGCGAAATGTAGTCGAGTTGTCGAGACTCTCGCGGTGAGTACTTGTCTGAAGATGAATTTAAAGAGAAAGTAAGAGGTTTGTGATCGGTAAAAAGTGTGAATTCTCTTCCTTCGATGGAATGTGGGAAATGCCGTACAGCACAATACGTAGCTAGAAGTTCTCTACCGAACGTGCTGTACCTAGATTCCGCGTCTAGCAACCGTCTCGAGAAAAATCCTAAAGGTTGCCATGAGTTGTTAACCCATTGTTGTAAGACTCCTCCGATTGCTGAGTCGGATGCGTCTACGGCGATACTAATGGGCGCTTGAGTGTCCTGATGAGCAAGCAGGGTTGCCTGAGCGATGTGTTCCTTAACTGTGGAGAATGCTTTACGGGCTGTGTCATCTAAACTAATTGATTTTGCATTTCCCCGAAGTTGGTCGGTTAACGGTTTCATAAGAGATGCGCATTGAGGTATGAACCGTCTATAGAAACTTGCAAGTCTGTTAAATGTTCGTAAGTGCTTGATCGTGGTCGGTTCTGGGTAATCCAGAATGGCCGCCACTTTGCTTCTAAGGGGTCGGATGCCTTGAGCATCAATGGTGTGTCCTAAGAAATCTAAGGAGTTAGTTTCGATTTGGCATTTCTGAATGTTTACAGTAATGCTATGCCTTTGGAGTCGATCGAAAACAATGTCCAGATGCTTGAGATGTGATTCTCTGTCTGGACTTGCTATGAGACAGTCATCAACATACGCATGTACGAAGTTGAGACCTCGAAAGACGTCGTCTATAAACCTTTGGAAGGTTTGAGCTGCATTTCTTAACCCAAAAGGCATTCGCAAGAATTCGGAAAGACCGAAAGGAGTGATGATGGCTGTCGTAGGAACGTCGTCAGGTGTCATCGGTATTTGGTTATAAGCCTTAACCAAGTCGATTTTCGAAAAGACAGTTGTACCTTTCAAGATAGCTGTCAAATCGTGAATATGAGGCAACGGGTAACGATCTGGAATGGTTTTAGCTTTCAGACGACGATAATCAGCAGTTGGCCGCCAATCGTTGCTGTTCTTTTTAGGGACCATGTGCAATGGGGATGACCATGGACTATTTGATGGTCCAATTATCCCTAAGTCTATCATATGGTCGATCGGCTTTCCGTAGCGATCGGCTTTCCGTTTGCCGCCTATAAACTTAGAACAGACTCGCGAAGTCTGTCGTCGGGATTTGCTGGAAGAACGCTAACTTCTGCGCCAGTATCGACGAGGTAGCGAACTTTCGTAGTCACATCCGTGACATATAAGAGGCGGCTGTGTTCGCCGGCTACGGTTGCCGTTAACGCGTGCCGGCTGGGAAGTTTCCCGAAATCTTATTCGTGTCAGTCGCTTTTGGGGTAGGATAATTGAAAGGTTTCCTGCAATTTCTGGAAAACTTACCGTACTGGTTATGATACCAGCACCAGTCAAGATTGTCTGTCTCTCGTGGTCGAGAGCCAGATCGCTTACGTGAAAAGCTTCTACGCTGGTTTTTTGTCCGACTACGGTCATTACGAACTCTAAGATATGGTGTAAGCGCGTGGCATAGTTAGGTTATGTCAGACGGGGTCGATTGAGGTTTTTCTTTGACGGAAAAGACCTCGGCGCTAGTGGATTTGGTGATTTCTAGGATTCGGTCGGCAGATGCAGCTAGCTCATCTATGGCGTTGTTTTGAAATGAAACAAGCACTGCCTGCACCTGATGAGGAAGTTTAGACAAGAAAAGTTGTCTGAATAGGCCATCATCGAAAGTTCGTTGTCCGATAACTTCTCTCATTCTTAGCAACATGTCTGTCACAGAACCCTGAAGCAAGTCGATGTTATGAAAGAGTTGGTCTAACCGTTGTCGTTCGGTTAGGTCTCCACGTTTGAGAATCGAACATTTAAGAGTTTCGTAAGTTTCGGGAACATCACTGGTAAACATACTAGGTGTTACGTACCTGTTAAACTCGCGCGGTAACGCCTTAACTACCGCGAGGAATCGTGTGCGCGAGTCCGTGATTCCGTGAATGCAAAAATCAGCTCCTGCGTAGCAGAACCAGGACTCGATATTGTCTGGCCAAAATGGCGTTAACTGAATCGAAATAGGGGGAATAGACTTTTACTTAAAAACCTTGGATAAGTGTTCCGTCATAGTAATATAGATAACGAAAAATGTCTAATTAAAATATATCCGGGGAAAAAAATTCTCGAAAAAACAGTTTATCACAATATATAAAATTCAAATAAAGAATAACAATGAATAATAATATTCCAAAATGGAACAGACTCACAGTATATTGGCTTGGTGTACCATATCACGTCGGTCTCACCACTGAGGATACAACGGATATTCTACTTTTACAACTAGCAACCAGTAGTATCTTCTATAATCGATCGTTCCCAGTCGAATAGAAACCAGAAGTCAGACGAGGAGAGGTAGGAAAGATATATTTGATACGTTACCAATATATCGAGGAACCTTTACTATAAGCTGGCTAATGAACGTAGGAGCTGTGTCCCACGCCGTGTTGCAACGTGATCTGGTACGGATGCATGACCGAAAGCCTTTAGTTAAACAAGTCTACTTAAACAACGTGATCAGTATCCAATGCCGAACACTTAATGAGCTATTGATTTTGGGGAAATATTTACAGCTACAGTGAGACGACCACCACATAGGACAGTCCATGAAGTATGATTAATTGATGCGAGGTGATTGTTCTTGACTTTGACAGGGTCGATGATCTGTTCGATATTCAGTGACTTAATTGCTGGATGAGTTAGCTAGGGTTCAGTGACATTTCACCGGTCCTACACTACGAACGATGTTGAGTGAATAGTAGTTTTTGCTTATTTCCTTTCCATACGTCGGGTCTGGTGTGACACGTGCTCATTTTCGAAAACTATATGGAAGTCAAAGATTGGAAGTGTATGATCATAGAAGCAAACTGAAGTTGTTCGTATCGATAATGAGTATTCAAATTGTGGACTCCGAAAACGCGCACTAACTAAAACGCCGAAGGTTGTCTGCAGTAGTGTGTGTATTCTCGTGAGTCACGCATTTCTCTGCCGCTTATTAGTTAATTGCTATTGAAGTCAACAACGAAAGTTATGCTACTCAAAATATTTACTCAGTCACTCTCAACTGGTACTGTTGCTGTAAACGTTTTTACTCCGTTATAGTAGTCAAGTGCTGGAATTCGCTGCCGAATGAGCTATTCCAAGCGACCTCCCGGGAGTCCTTTAAGAGGAAACTTGACTTATTCTTAAGGACTAAGGATAACATATTATTATGATTTACCAAAATCTTTTTTTCCTCTATTATCGTTCATATACCAAGGTTCTTACCTGGAGGTATTGGTGATCCACTGCTACCAGACACGGAAGCCCGTTAAGCGAAAGCTTCTTCTATTCCGTCCTCAACCATTTGAACCATTTTGAACTCATCAAACGTCATCGAACAGAGGTTACGTACGTAACCAAAATACGTATTTTGGCTGAACACAGTTCAAGATCTAAAGTCCATGTTTCAATATCTCGGCATATAATTTTATTTTGTTGACCTTTAAGTCCACTCTGTCATCAGTTTCTTTTAGTTTAGTGACAAGTGTTAGTTCCTCGTTGATTACAATCTTTATGAGTTTATTGTACTGTCAGCACAACTTTAAAGTTAGTTAATATTTCACTCTAATTGTGAGATTTAGTGGTACAAAACAAACAATCTATTGCTGCTATGTGCGTGTAATCGTAACTTAACTACTTAGCAGACATGTGACATATTTCAGACTTGTCCCAAATTTTTGAATACAAACAAGGTTGTGTGTGTTCTGCGCTGAAACACATTGATCCGTATCAGTTTGCTTATAAATTCGGAAAAGCACCTTAGATGCTGTTGTTGTTGTGCATCATAATATAGTGTTCAGCTTAAAAAAAGAGTTGGATGTTCTTTCCAGGTTTAGACCTCTGCCTTTGACTGTATTCTAAGACAACTATTTAACAAGTTTACCAACGTCAACACTAACAGTTGAACAACAAACTGCTTATATTCCTATCTCTCTGGACGAAAACAGTACACTATGTTCAGAGGGAAGTGTTGGATTCCCCACTGCCTCATGGTGTGCTGCAAGGAGCTGTTCTTTTCTCTTTTTTTCTACCTGATCTGCCATCCACAGAAAACACGTTTGTTAAAAATGTGGACGATCTCACTATATGTATGCGGACTTTCCCCTCTTTACATCCTCCTGAAATGAATGAGTTCTTGTCTCGTATTGAATGGCAGTCTGTTGTTAATGGTCTCACACTTGATCCGTCTAAATATCAAACTGTTAGCCTTAGCCTGAGACACGAACAACATCTAAACACCCTTTTGGAATCCTGCAAAGTTTGTACTATTGGAGACTCTTTGGTAAACGTAGTATCAAAAGTCGTTTATCTTAGTGTAATTTTTTCTTCTGGTCTCTCTTGGTCTTCTCATGTCTTGTTGTCATCGAAGAAAGTTTCTCGTCTGGTTACATGAAGAGGCTGCATGCTTTTGGCATTACTTGACATTTACTCTTACAGTGTCGATTCTTGTATATTACCTATTATTCTTTACTTTTCTCCATTATTCTTTCCTGGGGCCTTGAGAAAAGACTTTACTGTATTGCGCAGGGTGCTGAAAGCAGTTAACAGGGTATGTGGTGAGTATTTTGAGTTCATGATTAATATGGTTGTGTATCGACATCCAAGATCTTGCAAAGTCTTGGCAGATGTTATCCTATCAGATACTAATTATCCACTTCATTCGTATCTTCTTATATATCTTCTGATATAACGAGACGTCAATACACTAAAATCCATGCACGTCGGCAAAAATATAGAGGCTCTACAATACCTTATCTAGCAAGTATCATGTGTGATGAACAGGTTGTTAGAGATGACCTAGTCAACAACTTGTATTCTTAAATACGTTTCTAATTAAAACGTTGTACAGATTCAAATACCTTAAAAAACATTTCATTCCATTCCATTCCAGGTAGTCTATCTACTTAACTTATGTATATATGTATAAAGTTACCAATCTCTTTCACGTTTTTCTTCTCGTAAAATAAACTTGTTGAAATACATTGTTCTGAGAATCCTACACTGTGCCAAGAATGTAATGTTGAATAAAGCCATTAGTAATAATAATAATAATAATCAGTTAACTGAATATAAATGAAGCTGATAATGGTCAACACAGAGGAAATGCTCAAGGACAATAAGTCATGAGTGTTTTTAAAATTTCATTAGGAATGTTGATACAAGACTGCTTAATTGATTGGCTGCCCTCAAATGCCTTAGTACGGCCGAGAGTGGGGAGGTGCCACCCTCCCTCTCGAAATGCTCTCACATGGCCACGCGTATATAGCCTCTGTCAAGGAAGTCCTACTTACTGCCTTCTCGTGGCGGGAGTGTTGTTTACGAAAGTGAGAGGATGAAAAGCGAATGTCCAGCGATTTAACGGGGTTTGTGGACACTGCGAGTCCACCTAGGGGAGTTGGGAAACCCTGATTCCAAACCAATGGTGCACATGGACTTCGAGACACGCTTTATTTACTTCTTTTTGAGCAGTCGAGTGATATCACTTGTCTTTAGAATTTGGATTTTGAGCTTTTTCTCAGGCTCACAGCTAGAATGTTTAGCCTAGTATCTAAACAAAATGTGTGAGTCAAAGATATGAACAAATAATGTATACCAGTGACATCTTATAACTGATTGATATGGCTATCTAAATGTTCTGGGTATGAGTCACTCACCCTGTGCATTATTGATTATTCAGGTAGTCGAGAAATTTGTAAGCCGGCAGTCTTTTTTATTTGTAACATCCTCTTTATTAGCACTCATATTTTAGTTATGTTTGATAAATTGTGGTGTTTAAGTAACACAAAACACTGTAGACCAACTTTTAAAATCTTGAGTATTTTTGCATGATCTTGAGCAGGTATGTCATACGATGCTACCGTAGTCATAGTTAGTGATATGATGTTGTTAGATGGACTCAGTCGTTAAAGTCATTGATTACTGTTTGTAGATCGTACAACAAAACCAAAGGACTATAATCGACCGCCTAAAACAACGCTAGATGGTTGGAGTGGGACGGAAAATAAATCCATTATTTATCTTACTTTTATTCTATATTCTTTTCTAGTTTCATCTAGGTCAATAGTTTTTATTCTTTCATCTACTCACTATACTAAAGTGAAATATATCAACTTGAATCAATTTGCTGCAAAGTCAGGCTCTAAAGTGTTTTTGTGTGTGCTTACGGACAAATTATGGTCCATCCTTCATTGACAACCCTATAAGCTAGTTGCCTATGTGGAACATTGATCGGGAAACTACAGCAAATAGCGATATTTTATCTCAAGTAACAAACCGTTCAAGTACCTCAGGAGATTTCAAAAAAAGTTTAATCTGTTCGGTAAAGCTCCAAAGATTTCCGTGTTAAATTTCAGAGAAGTCACATTCATAACTGATTAACACTTTCGTATAATGCAAAAGACTATCAATGAGGCCAAGTAAGTGTGTTCTTTTCAACAAATCTCTTTTTCTTGTTTTTAGAAGGATTGGTGCATTCTATGACTTTAATACGTTTGCACAAAATAGTCTTACGAATAGTAGGTTGTTTTTTGTTATTGTTAGTACCAGATTTACGTTGGTTTTTTATTCTAGACTTCGAATCTACGTGTTTCGAAGATGACATTAAAAAGCCTGCTGAAATCAGTATGATATGAATATATTTGTCACAACTGTCTTTCAGTTGAATTTCCTGTCGTTGTACTAGATTCAGTTACGGGAACACTGGTAGATTCATTTCAAAGTTTCGTGAAACCAACAGAAAATCCGGAACTAAGTGTATTCTGTTCTAATTTAACCAGCATTCAACAAGTATGCGTACAAATGGTAGATGTCAATATTTTTCCTAGTGCGATGTAGAAAATGCTCCTACTTTGGCAGTTGTTTTGAGAAAGTTTGAGCATTGGCTTCGAAAAGCCAAAGAAAATTTAGGATGTTCCTTTAAAGGTCAACCAACTTCAACAGCTATATTCGTAACATGGACTGGTGAGTTTGGTAATTTTTTTGTTATATGTCTGCTTTGTTTCAGTACTAGCCCAGATAAGCTTACCTACATCATTGTTATGCAAAACGGATATAAAAGAATGATGAATGTAGCGATGATTTTCGAGTTTTAGTTTAGTTTTTACACACAACAAACACTAGCTTAAAATATGATTAGTTATTCAGTATCAGTCATCAGCTTTCTTACTATTTGAAGGGACAGTTGACCAACGTAAAAAGTGATCATATTAAAAGTGACCCCTGAGATTTTTAAGGATGGTGGTCCAGTACTAGCAGTGAGATTGACTGAGGTCTTAGGTAGAATCTGGGAACTGGACGTAATTCCATCTGACTGGTCCCAATCACTGATTGTGCCAGTCTATAAGAAAGGACAAAAGTCCTCCTGTGACAATCACAGAGGGATCAGTTTGACTAATATAGTGTCTAAAATATTAGCTTCAATAATACTAGGTCGCCTAACCAAAGCTCGTGAAGAGCAGACTAGAGAAAACCAGGCTGGTTTTCGACCTGGACGTGGTTGCATAGACCAGATATTCACCCTACGTCAGGTTCTAGAACATAGACACAAATTCAGACGTCCCACAATAGTAGTATTTCTTGACCTTAAGGCGGCATTTGACTCTGTTGATCGTGAGGTTCTATGGCAATGTTTGTCACTGAAAGGAGTACCAAAGAAGTACATTAACCTCATAAAGGCTCTCTACTCGAACACAACTGGTCGAGTTAGAGCCTATGGCGAACTATTATCAGAACTGATTACCACAAGTGGAGTTCGTCAGGGCTGTCCACTCTCCCCATTCTTGTTTAACTTTGTCATTGACATACTTTTAGAGACAGCACTTTCATCAGCTAAGCCTCCAGGAGTTGAACTCTTACCGGGAGGCTCACTTGTTGACTTAGAATACGCCGACGACATAGTTTTACTCGGTGAAGACGCTGACAAAATGCAGAGTCTTCTGACCACCATAAGCAACAATGCAGGCATGTTCGGGATGCGATTCTCTCCCTCGAAGTGCAAAATGTTACTTCAGGATTGGGTTGCAGCGACACCTGAACTAATGATAGGGAGTGAAGTAGTTGAGCGTGTAAACCACTTCACTTATCTTGGGAGTCTCATCAGCCCTTGTGGTCTGGTGTTTGACGAAATCTCAGCACGGATACAGAAGGCTCGTCTAGCTTTTGCCAGCTTGCATCATTTGTGGCGTAGGCGAGATATCCGTCTAGCAACCAAAGGACGGGTTTACTGTGCAGCAGTTCGTTCCGTCCTACTTTATGGAAGTGAAACATGGCCGGTAAGAGTAGAGGATATTCGTAGGCTACTAGTGTTCGATCATAGGTGTCTTCGAAGCATTGCTCGTATATCCTGGGACCACCGGGTAAGTAATGCAGTTGTTAGGAAACGAGTACTAGGTAGGGATGGCAAATCGATTGATGAAGTAGTGAAACTTCATCAGTTGAGATGGCTGGGACATGTGTTACGTATGCCCGACCACCGACTGCCCCGACGTGCAATGTTTCATGGTGTAGGAGTAGGTTGGAAGAAAGCTAGGGGTGGCCAGACCAAAACGTGGCACAAATCAATGAAGTCACTGACAAGTGGACTGGGCCATGTTGGTAAGTGTAGACTACCTGGTTGGGATTCGCGAGATGACAGCAACCGATGGTTAGAGACCTTGAATGACATGGCTCAAAATCGTTTGCAATGGCGAAGATGCATCCACTCTTTGTGTTCTACCAAATTCTAATCTTCTGAATTTCTCATGTCTTTATGTTTTTCTCCTTCCAAATATATTTCACTGTACTATACTCCTTCAATAACATCTTCAAACTCTAATCTTTCCGATTACTGCTTATACTCTTACTAATTCTTCCACTATGGGATTTGAATCGACAACTGCATCTGTGTGCTAATGTGGTATGGCAACTCGAACTGATGTACGTACGTACGAAGTTCTACGTTGTGACTGACTGACTGACTGAAATAAATAAATGACAAGCAGAAACTAATCTAACCGATAATCTCAGCTGGTTAGTTGCTATAAAAAAGTGAATACTACAAATTCTAAATACACTAATTGTGATATTTTAAATTATTTACACTTAGATTATGATATTTATTTTTTTTAAAATTAGTAACCACCATTAAAATTGTACTTATGATGGTCATCATCTCTCTAAATCATTTGGAACAGTTCATTTTTTATTTCTCCCTAAATCTTGAGTTCCATGAAGCCCACTATTTCTTATTATTGACTTTCATCCATTCCTTTTTGGGTTTTATCGTCTATGTTCAGTCCCTTTATGCTATTTATGCTCCTCCTTTGATTTGAATTACGTGCAGTACATTTGCGAAAGTACATTTGTGAGAGCCCGGAGAGGTGCTGACATAGCTTCAGATCACCACCTGGTTGTGGCCAAGATGAGACTGAAGCTAAAGAAAGACTGGAAAACTGGACAAACAGCACTACAAAGGTTCAATACAGTCTTCCTTCAAGATACTGACAAGCTCCATGAATTCAAGATAACTCTCAACAACAGGTTCCAAGCTCTACAGGATCTACTGAAAGAACAAGAAACTACTTTGGAGGACAACTGGAAAGGGATAAAAGAAGCATTAACTTCAACGTGTCAGGAGGTTCTTGGTTTTAAGAAGCATCATCACAAGGAATGAATCTCTATGGGAACCCTGGACAAAATTCAAGAAAGGAAGAACAAGAAACTAGCAATTAACAACAGCCGAACACGAGCAGAGAAAGTCAAAGCACAAGCAGACTACGCAGAAGCAAACAGAGAAGTGAAGAAAAGCATTAAAGCCGACAAGCAGAAATATATGGGAGAACTAGCAACGGCGGCGGAAAAAGCTGCAAGAGAAGGGAATATGAAACAACTATATGACACAACGGAGAAATTGGCAGGGAGATATAGCAAACCAGAGAGACCAGTCAAAGACAAAGAAGGAAAGACAATCACTGAGATTCAAGAACAGAGGAAAAGATGGGCAGAATACTTCGAGGAACTGCTGAATATACCAGCCCCATTGAATCCACCGAACATCGAAGCAGCCCACACTGACCTTCCAATAGATATCACTCCACCAACGATCGAAGAAGTCAAGATGGCCATCAGACAAATCAAAAGTGGGAAGGCGGCAGGACCTGACAATATACCAGCAGAAGCACTGAAGTCAGACATTGAAATAACTGCAAATATGCTTCACCTTCTATTCAAGAAGATTTGGGAAAAGGAACAAGTGCCAACGGACTGGAAAGAAGGATATCTCATCAAGATACCAAAGAAAGGAGATCTGAGCCAATGTGAGAACTACAGAGGCATCAGTTTGTTATCAGTACCAGGAAAAGTTTTCAACAGAGTGCTGCTGAATCGTATGAAAGACGCAGTAGACGCTGAACTTAGGGATCATCAGGCTGGATTCCGTAAGGATCGGTCGTGCACAGACCAGATTGCGACACTACGGATCATCGTTGAACAATCGGTTGAGTGGAACTCATCACTATACGTCAACTTCATCGACTATGAGAAGGCGTTTGACAGCGTGGACAGGAGAACATTATGGAAACTTCTTCGACACTATGGAGTTCCTCAGAAGATCGTCAACATTATCCAAAACTCATACGATGGATTACAGTGCAAAGTGGTGCATGGAGGACAGCTGACGGGTGCATTTCCAGTAAGGACCGGAGTCAGACAAGGCTGTCTACTCTCCCCATTCCTCTTCCTTCTAGTGATTGACTGGATTATGAAGAATTCGACATCTGAAGGGAAATACGGAATACAATGGACTTCTCAGAATCAATTAGATGATTTGGACTTCGCAGATGACCTAGCCCTCCTCTCTCATACACACGACCAAATGCAGATGAAGACAGCAAATGTAGCAGCAGCCTCCGCATCGATAGGCCTCCACATTCACAAAGGAAAAAGCAAGATTCTCAAATGCAACACGGAGAACGCCAACCAACTCAGTCATATTTGTTGGCAAAATTCTGGAGAAGGTGGAAACATTCAAGTACCTGGGAAGCATCGTTGATAAACAAGGGGGATCAGATGCAGATGTAAAGGCGAGGATTGGCAAAGCAAGGGCAGCATTTCTACAATTGAAGAACATATGGAACTCAAAACAACTCTCAACTAATTTCAAGGTGAGAATCTTTAATACGAACGTCAAGACAGTCCTACTGTACGGAGCTGAAACGTGGAGAACTACTATGACCATCATCAGTAAGGTACAAGTATTTATAAACAATTGTCTACGCAAAGTACTCAACATCCACTGGCCGGATACTATCAGCAACAGCGTTTTATGGGAGAGGACAAGTGAGCTTCCAGCTGAAGAGGAAATTAGGAAAAGACGTTGGAAGTGGATCGGACATACATTAAGGAAATCACCAATCTGCATCACGACTCAATCCCTAACTTGGAATGTTGAAGGGAAGTGGAAAAGAGGAAGGCCAAAGAACACACTACGCCGGGAAATAGAAGCCGATATGAAAAGGATGAATAGCAACTGGAAAGAACTGGAAAGGAAGGCTCAGGACAGAGTTGGATGGAGAATGCTGGTGAGCGGCCTATGCTCCTCCACAAGGGGTAACAGGCGTAAGTAAGTAACATTTGCAATACAACTTGATGACCATATATTAATCTAAATGCCATACCATCTGGACCATCTACTGTGTCAAGATTGGTATGACTACTATGTCATGGATGGAATAGAACTTGAATCCTAGTTTTGTTTCCTCTAGTTAAGCATTTCTGTCCTATCCGTCCTACTGACACAGTTGTAGTCATAAAACTCGTTTCTAGTCAGCTTAATGTTTTGAGGATATGGCAAATCATAAATCCATGAAAGCAAATTCAGTTACTATGCTAATGAAATGTCGAACCGATTTATCCCATGTTTCTAGTTGTTCAGAGTTTATTCGAACAAGCCTTTAGTTTTGCATCATTAGTTCAAAGGATACATTACCTACAAAACTTTAACTGAACAATATTCTCAAATTATCTACGATAAATATATTTGCAACCTAATATGCTAAGTTAATTTCAGTTACTGAGTTACATACAAGTGTTTTTTTCCAGTACCCTACACTTTAAGTGTAATATCGTTGAATAAATCAATGACAGCGGACGTAACGGAATAATATGAGTTCTTTTTTAAGTAATTGATTCACTTCAGATGCTCTCAACCTGGGAATGATCTTGATTACTAAAACTAGTGTTTATTCTTTATATCATATGAATGAATATTAGTGAAAAAGATATTAAATATCGGAGAATTATAAGAAATTTCTATCGCACTTGTGTGTTAACTACCGTGTAAATTTTAAAATTTTTTAAGGATACGAGAACAAAGTTTAACGAAATAGAAACCCATGTCAAAAGTTATGTCAAAATAACTATAAAAAAGGGATGGATTAGAAAAGTAAAATGAGTAAAGCTCAAAAATTGGCACAAGAATGAAGAAAAGAAATTCATAACTGTCAGTATGAAATAAGATATAAATCAATCAAATAGTGGAGATTAAATTCACCAGGGTAGTTCAACACCGACAATTGTATTCTATTGAAGTTCAGTTTCGACCCTTCAATAACTTTTGCTTCGGCTAAATGTAATGAATTCAAAGTTACTCCTGCATATTAATTATTTAGAAAGATCTTAAATTATCAACATTATGTCCGTTATCAAACAGATAATGGGTGACCGCATTGTTGAAAATACGTTGACATTTTAGTCTCAATCGCTGTAGAATGTGCTCCGAGTTGCCTGAAAGAACCTTCCCTCCTCTTCCGATGTAATGACTTTGAAATTTACATGTAAACTGTTAAACATAATTGGAGGTTATATGTAATGATTCGTGGGTTGTAAGCACTTGAAGAGGATCCACTATAGAACCTCTCTTACACTTAAGTTTGTTTACCGTTAATTTTATCAAGCCCTTCAATTAACTTGCTTAACATACAACGTTTTTCGAGCAATAACAATTTGTCCATGTCTTTTTGTTATTATTATTACCAATATTAATATCGTGTCTGTATGAACATGCATATATTGATCATATGTGACAGCGTGTTGTTTTTCCATTTTCTCCTCTTCACTTCTCCAATCTCTTCCTTCTTTGCTTCATCTCCCTGATTGTCTGTTCAAATCAATGAGTGCATGAAATATACATATTCAAATTATATTATCTTATTTGGCTTATCTAATTACGTTGCTCACTAACGAGGATTAAGTCGATAATTGTATACGAGGATAGCGGACATGTGTGTTTCAATAACATTCATACGATTCAACTGGAGTCAGATATTGAGCCACAAAAGGGTTTCTTCTATGTACTATTTATTTATACTGTAAGTTAAATGAAACCTTTAACATTTTATTTTTTTTTCTTCATGAACTGAAGACTGGGACATAAGTACATGTTTATGGGATGAATGTAGACGCAAAAAACTACCTCTTCCTGGTGATATGCTGAATCGTATCGATTTAAAGGCAATATTTCAAGTAAGTAGTATGTTTCTGTTTATTTCATATGCCTTGTACTAATAAACCTCATTGAATATTTAAAATGTTTTATTAAAGAGATCTTATTTTATACAAAGTGGCTCTAAAATAGAAATAAAGATACGTAATTTAGACAATTCAGTATTTTAACTAAAGTTCAATTATTTTTAACTATTAAGGCAAACGAATATGTATGGATAGAGTGACAAATGTCAATGGATATACGTATACTCACTTTACGAGTAATATTTGTTTCAAGTGATAAACCAGAAGTCAATGCTAACTAGATTAACGATGGAAGTAGATGAAGATAAAATGTTACTCATTCACTATTAAATGCAGTTAAGTACCCTCGGCCTTAAACCACACTATTTGTCTGAGTTTATAGTGACACAATTTGGTTGCTCAAAATAAATTACACAGTGGAGCGTTTATACCTGTAATCCATTGGTTGAAAACAAGGTGCTTCTACTAGTAAACACAATAAATAATTCCCTATTGATATTAACTTACACTTTAGTAAAACTCTGAATAAGAATTGGACAGGAAGTGATTATGAGTATAACTGCCACTGTCGTAACAGGATAATAGGAATGCGCTTATTTCGTGGATTCTGAACAATCGTTAGTGTTGGTAAAAATGACTATGGGTCTTGAAATAAGAAGTTACATAATAGGATAAATAAACAGAAGTCAATCATGATTCGACAATATATGTAGTAAGTTAAGCTCAGTTAGCTACAACTAAATTATAGCATGGAATGTTGAAGAGTTGAGTTGGAAAATTGTGTGGCCATATACCGAGTCAAAAAAACAGTTGTTTTGTTTTCAACACATAATTTAGTTGTGAAGCATCTTATGGCTATAGCTTCAGCAAGTTTAAGAAAACTTGGAAGATTTAATGGTATTTAAATTTGATCCACAAGCTAAACTACTAGACATCCCTTTTTCCTCTGAGGTGTAGACATTTTAAAATCTGTCCTACGAATCTAAGTTAGATAACTTTTTCTAGTCTACCAATGTGACTACTTTTGAAGATGAAAGTCAATTGATACAAACAATCGTTGGAAACACAAGTAGTTTACTTATTTGTATCTCACTAGAATGTTATGTTTTTCCTGTGCTTCATGCTTTGTATAAGCTGTATTTTCTATTGATTTACTAAATCACCTGTTAACTTAATTCTGTGTGTAGATATTTGGTAGTACCTGTAAATTAGCCTTCCAACTAATCTGACCATACATTCACCTATACAAGGTTCAGACATTCTGTCTTGTGAGTATCAATCAACTATAACATCTGGATTAAAATAAACTTAAACGTAGAAACTAAAAAAGACTAATGATCTCATCACACTTATTCAACTAAAAATGAAAAAAAAGAGTATTAGAACAAACTCAACTGTATAACTCAGTAAACTGGCTGTCTCTGTTAGTTGTGGTAGTTTTTTTCTTGAGGCACTAGTGGATTGTTTCTTTATAATAAGTTACTGAATAATCAGTTGTGGACTAAATGAGTTACAGTGTATGAAATTTAGACCTACCGATCAATCAAAGCTAATTTGTCGTAAAAATAAGTATATACATGTCATTAATCCGTACTTTTTGGTATATGGTGAATATCCCTTTCTCCACTAATGTCTTTCTTCTTTCATTTTGTTGAGTCTCATTAGTTGTGTGGCACCAGCAACCTGGTAGAATGGGGTGGTCTTAGAGGTGTACATTCGTTTAATGGCTTACTATTGGTTACCTAGCCCTCAGGATTGGCTTAGAAATTTAACTTTAGCATTCAGTTTAGTCGGCCAGGTTTATGTAGTTCTCATACAGTAAACATAATAGAAGGCTTTGCGAATAAATCTGTACTTAGCTACTTAGGAGCATCCACTTTTGCTTCCTAAAATACAATTTTTAGGTACAAATTCGAAATTTAACGAGGTTTCACGTGTATAGATGTCATGAAAAAATGTGTTTGGAAACTAAAACCCTAAGTTTTTAAGGTTTTAATAATTTCCAGAAAAAGGTAGATAAACTGTTAAGTCTACATTAATGTGATGAGTAGTTGATGTTAAATTGTTACTTATACATGAAATGACAAAAGAATAAGTGAAGAAAATAAAATAACACTGAATAGGACTAAATTTTTTATTCTTAGCATTTAATAATTAAAATTTGTACTGAAATCTATTCGTAAGTTTGTTTTACTTACGAAATTGTCATTAATACAATTCTTGAGTGGTTTCAGCCGTCACTTTTCTACATTGAATGCAGTCAGTCAGTCACAACGTAGAACTTCGTATGTACGTACATCATTTCTAGTTGTCATACCACATTAGCACAGAGATGCAGTTGTCAATCCAAATCCCATAGTGGTAGAGGTAGTAAGAGTATAAGCAGTAATCCCAAAGAATAGGGTTTGAAGATGTTATTCAAGAAGTATAATCTTGTGAAATAAATTTGGAAAGAGAAAAGAGGAAGGGACATGAAGAATTCAGAAGATTAGAATTTGGGAGAAAACAAAGAGTGGATGCACCCTCGCCATTGAAAACAATTTTGAGCCATGTCATTCAAGGTCTCTAACCATCAGTTGCTATCATCTCACGAATCCCAACCAGGTAGTCTACACCTATCAACATGGCTCAGTCCACTTGTCTGTGACTTCATGGATTTGCGCCATTGAGTACAATTTATGTCTTATAGCCTGTTAATTAGCATGTGACAAAATCGTCAACCACAACACCGATTTTTACGACCTTGGCGCTGTGCCAAACCATTGACGCGTTAACTAGCACAAGCAGCCTAGAGTCAACTCTGATTCTTTATTGCTTCTCGCTTATCCCTGCCCGTTTGAATCCAGAACACAAATCAGTTTTCACTGTATAAAATCATATATTTCAGACATACTTGGTTCATATACAATTTCTGTGTTAATATGATATGGCAACTCGAACTGATGTACGTAAGTACGAAGTTCTAAGTTGTGACTGACTGACTGACTGACATATACAAGCAAACCAGACCGCATTATGTTATAAAATAGAAAATAACAATTATGCAAGATCAAACCAAAAGTGGCTGTGAGTGTGAGAGACTGTAACTAACAGATTGCGAATAAATTAAGAATAGTTAATCATATAATAGCAGTCAATAAGTTAAATGGAAGCTCTTAATGAAAGGAATATGAATATGCATTTACTGTAGTTACTTAATAATTATCCAATAGGAATATATGTAAAATAGTCCCTAAATAATTCCTACTAGTTACCATTCATTTATTCTTCTTTAGGATATGACAAATTTTAATCATTTTTTAAGTCGAAATATTTCTAGAGAATGTCTAGTTCTAATTTTTCCAGTATCAAACCGTCAAGTTTTAAATCAAGTAGAGTAACTTGGTGACTATAAAATAATCTAAGTTTGAAATCAGTTAATGAAAATAACAAAAAACGAAGTGGACTGTCTTTGATTGATGGGCTTTTGGATATAATTTTGGACTACAAATGGTTCTTTTCATTGTTCTGTTATTCAATGGTTCTCATTTTCTACTTTCATGTGTTTTCAATATAACACAACGATCACTCAGTTCGGCCGATAGTAAGTATCTTAATCCGGAAATCACAATTTTTTTTTAAACCTTGTCGACTCTTCTCAAAGCAAGTCACTAGTGAGCATATGATCATATATCTTTTTTTGGGAGGAGTTGTGGGTACCCCATCTTAAGAAACTCACATTGTTACGGAACAACTGTGCAATACTACCTAGTTTTCTATGTCACCACATTTACACTAATCCCCAACAAGAAGTGCTTGATAATGCACCTTAACTTGATTGAAATTTTCGATTTGTTACTTCGATCCAACCGTTGTGTATGGAAAAGTAAATATAGATACTGAAGACAATTTTGCCCATTCATGTAAACAATTTTTACGAAATATGCATGTTGCTTAGGAAGCTATATTTTCAACACAATTATTCGTCTTATATACCTAAACCAACTATTAGAATTACAACCTGAAAGATAAAAGGGATTCTTACCGAGTACGTGTCCATTAAATAATTAGATTCTAATTTTTTTCCGTATCGTAATTTGTATTATTCTACTAAGATCATAACAAATCCGTTCATATTTTTTTGTGCTTAGCAGTGGCTTGGCTCTCATAAAATTGGACAGAAATGGCGAGGTGGTTTAAAGGATGCACTTAACCTAATTGGATTACATTTTGAAGGTCGGCCACATAGAGGAATTGATGATGCTAAAAATACATCTCGACTACTTCTTCATCTACTTTCAAAAAATGTTCTCAATTTAGCGACTTCATAGAAGAGCTCTTTTCTAGATAACTTTACAAACACAAATATATTTTTGATACTCAGTCAATAATTTCTGCCAATTGTGGAGTAATAATTTGATAGTGGAATTTATGAACCAACATTGTACTGCAGATAAACAATCTGCTGTCCGGTTTAAAAAACCTTCCCTTGCACTTTTGGGTGAATTGAAATACCTACTGATATTTTTGTCTCAAACAATTTTATAACCGTAATACTGTATTTCGTATAAAAATGACTAACTTTTCCCTTTCATTTAAAATTAAAATCACGAATAGAGTATAGGTTTCGCGATAGTAAGTTTGTAGTATTATTGGTTCTCAGCCACATAATCCGTGAGGTCGGCGTGTGATAACTGAAAACATCTACATTAAACACTGAAGTTAAGGATAAGGTCAAATGCAGTGGTCACTAGAAAACAATATCCAGACAGGATGGCTCTACCATGTAAGCGTGATCACCGTGTAACTTAGATCTTTTCTTGTTATATAAATTATCCTATTCCCAACTCAGGCGTGTTCTTCAAAAGCGCTAAACATCATGTTGCTGAATGTCACGACAGGACAAGTCTGTATGGACATATGACTTCGATGTAAGGTCTGGTAGGTTGGTTCGTCACATCATATCTGGTCCACAATCTCAGATTGGGATTACTATTCTAGTAGAGAAGACAAGTGGCATAGTACAGATCCGGACATTAATTTTACGAATTAATGTGGAGATACATTCACTGGAGTACCTTTACACCGCAGTGATATGGTTCCTGCTAACTTTTGTGTCCACCCACATTGGTCCAACTAGGTCCTGATATTTATATCAATTTAACGGGCAATTCCAAGCGAGCACAAGGTGAAAATGATTGTGATAAAAAGAACAGCCAAAACCCTAGTAAAACTGCTGCCCTTCGGAGGGTGCATATCAGAATGTTTGTACCCTTAAGAGCATCCCATGTACGTCCGTAAATTACAGTTGCCAACCATAATATGACGATCTGTGAGTCAGAGTTTCGCCGTAGTCTTATCTAGGGGATTGAAGTGGCGGATGGTTTAATATAATCCCTTCCTCCCATGTATAGTGTTTCAGAACCAGTCGAGTCACTGAATGTCGAATTCTTCACCGATCCTCGTCAAGGGCATCCAGAGCATATCAATTAATTGCATGCCATGGACTGGCCCATGCATAAGTGATCGCACTTCCTTCCTAGCATCTAGTCTTACTAATATATTTCTGTTATAACGTCATTTGTATTGTACTGTCATCAAAGCATACCTAGTCTCTGAACATAACGAGGTGTCAATCCACGTTAGGTGCTAACCGTAAGGTGTGTCTTGGATGTTAGCTGGTTGGTCACACCTAACCCAACAATGATCATCTACTTCAGTGAACTACACTGTGGTATAAACAACAGTCTGACAATTTTATGAGCATAACCGTATCTACTGAACTGGATCCCGGTTGGCTATCCTTTTTGCGCTATCTTACTGAACGGTATAATCAGAAATCTGAAGAATTGTGATAAGCAGAGTTCTTCGTTCGCTCAGCTTACTCTCACACTGTGACTCGGATGAAGAAAGGGTTGGTTTGCGAAGAAACATTTGCACCATCGGTAAAGTTACATGCCCAAGTGTCGTAGGTGTGGGAGATTATTTCAACACATAAACAGTCTAAGCTCAACTGGATGTGTCTTACAGTGGCAAAATGAGGGAACAAATATCAGGGATCGTCTACTACAACCGTCAATATTAATCTATTGTGGTTGAAAAACGACTGTATAACTGTCTAACTTATGAAACCTTTCATACAATCCACATAATCTAATAACTTTTCTACTCCACAAATTACCTGAGGAACGAACACAACTTTACGAGTGGAACAATTATGTCGAAAGCAGTTATTGTGGTGGGATCACACTATGGAATATTTCCGAACAGTAAGCATTTGTTATTCAGGACCTTGCCAGAATCCCTTGGATCATTTAATATTAAGTGAGCAGCTCTTTAGATTATTCTGACGAATAATTTCGTTAACACACAGTGGTACTACATTGAAAACTTTCTGGCATGAATACCCTCAAAATTTACCCAAAGGCCGACACAAGTAGTCAGTATTGCGGAGACTTTTCAGAAGACTGCCCTCCATCTGGAAAAAAACCCTTAGAATGTTGCCACGCTTTGAAGAGAGTACACCAGTATGAACAACGGTAGTATTTTTCAGTAACGTTAATCAAAACATAAAATGGTGATTATTGATTGGTGCATTGACGGCCATTGTTGTGTCCCCTTTATATGATCTTATTGTAGATGAACAACGTTGATGATCAATGTCAAAATGATTGGAGGCCTACTGGAATTAGACAGGGACGGTGTAACGTATAAGCCAACTTCGAGTTCACACCTCGCGACCAGCACCTCACGTGGATTGAACCATCGCCATATCAAGGGATCATAGATGCTCTGAAGACTGTACAACACAAAAAACGTTATTACAAGATTATATTAGTTAAGGTAGATACAAGCGAAAGTACAACCACTGCCACCTGGGCCAGTCCATGGCGTATGATTGACTGATGCACGTTGACTGTCTTTGACCTTGACAAGGATCGACTATCTGTCTGATATTCAGTGACCTTTCACTGACCGTAGATTATTATTTCTGGAATTCATTCTTAATAATTAAACTTCGAATTATCTTAGCAGTATGGGCATATAGGTCAAGAGCTTGTAGTGCCGTGCTTCGATAATAGTTCACTTCGATAACCGTTATTATACCAATCTTAACGGTGTATAAAATCAGAAGGCATAAGTTAGCGGCAGCTACATTTTTATTGATAAATGATGCAGACTAGAAAGTTGTAAGCACATGAGCAAATGTAAGCGAGCGATGCAAAGATGATGCATAGTGGAGATGGCTGGGAAGCCAACCCAATTTAAGCAAGCGTTAACCAACATTTATAGTCGGACAAAAATGAATGACAGACATGTGATAGGTAGGATAAAAAGGGTACATACACATGCACTCATATAACAAGGTAGTCAAGGTTAGTAAGCGAATAATTAACAAGATCAAAATATGACTCATAATGGATAGGCGAATTGGCTTGGCCAGCAAGTAGAATAAAGTATATGGGCTGAACATATAAACTGATACTACAAGCTTTATCTTATTGGTGTTTTTACAAACTACAGGATTATCTGTACGTATGAATAGTAATTATTTACACGCTTTCAGGTGAACTTAGACAGTATCTTATGGTAAGCCAACTTTTACTGGTTTCCACCTGGATAGTTACCTGCACTTCCAAACAGTCTTCGCACACAAAAGAAATTTATAGATCAACTTTTATTCTGCCTATTATTCCGAAATCAGACAACTCTTTTGTAAGTCACATATGGAACGTCTTATCAAAAAGCTTGAAAAAATATATAGGATTACTGCACCAACAGGCGTACTGTAATTCTCTGCTTCAAGACATTTTTCTTTCACAATAAGTAAATTCAAATAATCAGGTTGTTTCGTACGAAATCCATGTTACTCCACGATCGAAAGATTTTTTGATTCTACATAACTTAGCAAGTTGCCCTAAATTATGTTTTCTGATGTACTACCAACTGTTTTTAGTCAAACTATCTGACCGGTATTGAGATATGAGATCGACAATTGCATTCCTAAAATGAAGCCAGCAAAACCATCTTTTTATCCTCTATGGTGAGCTTAACAAGAGGGTTTGTTATGGGTTGCCTGAGAGATGTCTTATTAAAAATTATGCAACATAATTTTTGTGCTTTTTGTTTAAATATACTAATGCTGTTTATTTGAAGCAGCGATTATTCAATATGCTTCCCGATGTTGAAAATAAACGTTTGTTTTCATGCATAGTATTTTTTACTGCTTTCGGATTTTGCTCAAACTTCATTTCTTTTGTCTCACCTTATTGGATCCAGTCAGTTCCAGAAGCTAACAGCCAATTCCAGAGAATAGGTCTTTGGACTGTTTGTTTTGATGGATATATGCTACCTGGTTTATATGATAGGGCATATTTCGGATGCTACTACATTTATTATGTGATCTATGACCGTATAAGAGATTGGCTAAATCCAAGTAGGTGTTGTGTTCTCCATAGTGCATTTTCTATCTTATCAAATACAAACAAGTGATTATGACATTTATCATCTAAATCATTTTTTCGCGATGCAATTCATGCATGCTAGGGGCTGTAAAGCTGTTATATATCCTGTGAAGGTGATTGCAGATTTTTGGCTAATAATCAAACATAGATATCGTCAATGATTCTCAAATGTCTCTTATACTTGACTGGTATTGTTAAGAATGGGGAGACTATAATTTATGAACAAACCAATCAGATTTAGGATAAAGAATCTTGGATTCTGGCACAAAATTCACTTTTACGTTTGGCCAAATTGTGTTTTGTTATTTTTGGCTGATGTCTGTTCGTGATGAAAATCCGTAAATCTAACCCGTAAATCTAACACTAACCATGGACTGTGAATCATGACCCTTATTCTTCAATCTACTTTATAACCCTCATTTAGTCCTGGTAAATCGGCAGATGCTTGCAACGTTACTTTGGCGTCTCTCAAAGGTTGTCCATAAATTATAATTTCACCGAAGATTTATTCTCGCTTTTAGCGTATCATCAGAAGATGCTGATATTATGTGTTTTGGTAGAGAAATCCAGTTATTCACTACTCAGTAAGAGAAACAGAACTTCAGACATAAGTAATTTCATTTTGGTTTCTTAACTGTCCTAGAATTTTTTCTCAGATGATCAGTTCTAGATAGAGAGAAACCATAAGACATAATATTGCCCAATTAATCTTTCAGTAAAAGTAAGTCAGTATTAGATTACTCCGTAACCTGCTGTAAGATAATGGAATGCGTTGAGGCATTTCTGCCTGTCATCGTAAGACAGGCTACAGAGACCGTTGAAGACTCATCTTAGCATATGCGCCTCATACATGAAATAATGACTTGCCGCTTGAATCGCAATCCAAATGTGGTCTCACGAAATTCGGGTATAGTGTTTTGAATATTTCCTCGTTCAATTTATGAAATGACTCACAAACAGGCCATACGACTCTTAAACCTTCGGTAGCGGCAGCCTTGCCGCTACCTAGATCTTTATAGCCCATTACTTTAGGTAATACAACTCCACATATTTTGTAGCGGTATAAATCGTCGCAGTTATTTATTTGCATCACCTCACTCTTGCTAGAGTTAACTTCTAGTGATCATTTACCTATCCATTTTAACCGTGAACTTAGGTCATCCTGTAATATTATTCGGCTTGACCTACTGTGTACAAGTCTCCCAAATCTTTATGTCATTTTCACAGAGTAGAGTAGATGACTTTGCTACAGTTGGTAATTCACATGAAGTAGAAAATGAATGGGACTGAGAACCGTACCTTGGGGAAATTCATTTCTCTACAGATTCCCATTAACCCGTATTCGTTTTCCCCTGTCATTGAGTAAGCTACTTATCCAGCTTATGATTTCATAACGGATTCCAAAACTCTCCAGTTTTAATTTAAAACCGAGGCGGGAGACCTTGTCAAAGGCTATATTTAGATATATAGGGACTATATCTATCGGAATATTTCTATTTTTTGACGCAACCCGATATTCTCTTGCAATGAACAGATTCGCTAAGCATGATAGGCCTTTTCTAAAAACATTTTATTCCCTGGCTAAAAGATTATTGCCTTCCGCATAGTTTAGAATAAACATTTGACAATCTTTCCCATAAGTTTGACAACTACACTGGTTAGACTAACATAACGATAGTTACTGACCAAGTTTCTATTCCCTGCTTTATAAACCAGACTGATAATTACGTCTTTTTAGTCTCTTGGCAGTTTAGACAGCTTCAAAGACATATCAAGCAATATTGCCGGAGCTTCTGCAATTACATCCTCCAGGGCTTCTGCAATCCTGGAAAGAATACCTTCAGGACCACTGGGATTGTCTGGTTTGAGATGTTGAAGCGACCGTAAGAGAGCTCCTTTCTCAATAACTGAACGATCTATCGACAAGCTGCCGTTATAATAAATAATTATTGGTATTTCACTGTCATTGGTGTAAAACACTACTAAAATATTTTGGTAAAGCTTCAACTTTTGCAAGATCATTTCTTGCCAATATCAATGGATTTTTTAGTACCAAAAGTGGTGGCATCCCTCCACTTTTCTGATCCCGTTCCTTTATATATGAGAAAAATGTTTTAAAAATATTTTAAAAATTCACAACCAGTTTTCTAGTGTTGATTATCAACTCTTTGAATGTATTCCTAGTATTACAATAGGTGAATCTGTACTGTTCAGAACCTGTAGAGATTAAAATATTCTAGTGCTTTTTTCAATTCAAGATGTTTTTTGACCTCTTTAGTTAACGGCGAACGATTGTTAGGTCTACGTGGTATTAAGAACTGTATAAATGATAACGTAACGAAGCTGTGTACCTCTAAATATATACTATATTCTATCAGTTGATGATGTGGTATTTACTGATCAGTCCGTTGTTGCCGTACACTCCGGTTCACCTGTTATGCTTGCTCTCCACACATTTGAGCGAGGTATAACCAGATTGTATACTATGTCACAAGCACTAGACATGAATGACAAAGCGTCATTATCGCTATTTGCTATCAGTGGTAGAATATTTAGATAGACAATACCCTTGATTGCTAAGTCTAACGAAGAAGATCCTTGGTTTAAAATAAAGCTGGTGGGTTCGAATGCACACTGTACTAAAGCATAGTGCATTGCATTCATCAAGAGCCTACTATTGGGAGAGTTTCCTATGGTGGACATCTCTGTCCAACTAGTATCAGGTACATTGAAGTCTCCTAATATCAGACATCTGTTATTTTTACTTCATACTCTAATGTGCTCAAAAATAAAGTCATCAACTAAGTAGGTTGGGCCACGATAGATGACATCGAGTATAAATGTACAACTTTCAAATGTGATTTCACAGGTAAGAAATCCACCAGTTAGATGAGAAAAAAAACAGATTTTCACTGGTAACATTCATGAATTCCTTCCCACTTCCAATTTATGTAAGTTTAATATGAGCTAGGCTAGGGTTTACCTGAATAATATGTTTTTAATTGATAGAAACATAAATTCCCTGGGCCAACTAGTACTTACTCCAATAATACTCAGTGATAAAAGTGGTAGGCCGGTTGGCTGACTTTAATACTTGCGACTTTTTTCACAGTGAAGATTCAGTTGTTTGTTCAAGGCACCAACTCATAGGGCTGATAAAACGTCTTCTGGCAAGGTGATCCAGTTACAGACTGTTCAATAAATTAAACAGAGACCCGCCCTGAGTTTATTCGATCGCGATATCCAAACTATATGCAGATAACCTCAGGAGCAACTAGCCACGATAGGATTATGACCAAAGATAGAAAACATAGATTTTGAATAACAAACTATGTGCTTATTATTCTACTGCAAGTTATTCTAAACTTCGAAGAACATTTATATGGACACTTAAATGCATGTAGTTTTAAATTCAAAACTTGATACTTTATCATCTTTAAACTACCATAAACGACTTACTTACATACGCTTGTTACCCCTCGTCGAGAAGCATAGGCCACCCACCAGCATTCTCCATACAACTCTGTCCTAGACAATGCTTTCCAGTTTTTTCCAGTTGCTATTCATCCTTTTAATGTCTGCTTTTTGTTCCCGACACAATATGTTCTTTGATCTTCCTATTTTTCGTTTCCCTTTACGATTTCAAGTTAGGGATTGCATCATGATGAAGTATGATGATTCCCTCAGCGTGTGTCCTATCCACTTCCAACGTCTTTTCCTAATTTCCTCTTCAGCTGGAAGTTGGCTTATTCTTTCTCACAGGTGGTTGTTGCTGATGGTATCCGTCCAACGAACATAGAATATCTTGTGTAGACAAGTGTTGTACATTTTCTAGATTGTTGTGGTAGTTTTTGAACTTTCAGCCCCGCATAGTAAAACTGTCTTGACATTCGAATTGAAGATTCTGACTTTTGTGTTGTCTGACAGTTATTATTTATTCATATTTATTTGAATGCATAAATATCGGTACAAAGGGGCACCAAATGCATATGCGCCACACAAGTCACTTGATTTGTGTGTGGGCTGTGATACTTGATGAGTGCCTAGATCGAAGCGGGTAATTTTCTTAATAGGCCACTACCGGAGCCTTCGACCTAAAGGTCTGAAATACAAGGCAGTGGAGCAACGTAAGGAGATGCAGTCCCATGGTAGCCGGTGACCAACGATTAGTTCATACACAGTTTGTTCCTTCAGGATCCTAGAGGATCACTGGTTTGGAATCAGGACTTCCCAACCCCCTAGGTCTACCCTTCATATTTATTTTGAGTTCCATATGTTCTTCAACTGTAAGAATGTTGCCCTTGCTTTTCCAATTCTTATCTTTACCTATGCATCATATCGTCCTCGTTCATCGATGATGCTAACTAGGTGCGTGAAAGTTTCCAGCTCTTTCAGCTCTTCTCTATCGAGTGTGATTGGGTTGGTGTTCCTCGTGTTGTATTTGAGGATGTTGGTTTTACACCTTTGTAAGTTGAGTTCCATTTATGCAGAGGCTTCTGGTACACTGACTGTCTTTACCTTCATTTGTTCGTGTGTATGTGATAGAAGGGCTAGGTCATCAGCGAAATTCAAATCGTCTAGTTGCATCCAAACTGTCCATAGTATTCCGTACTTCACCTCAAATGTAGAGGTCTTCATAATCCAGTTACCATAAGAAGAAAGAGAAACTGAGAGAGTAAGTAGCCTTGTCTGACTCCAGTCCTCACTTTGAGTGTATCTGTGATCTGTCCTCCATTTACGACTTTGTGGTGTATGGATTTCGGGTGATGTTGACGATTTTCTATGGTACACCATAATGTCAAGGAAGGTTCTATAAGGTCCTCCTGTCCATACTTCCAAACACCTCATAGTCCATGAAGTTGATGTGTAGTGACGAGTTCCACTCAATTGATTGTCCAACGATGATTCGTAGCGTTGCGACTTGGTCTGTGCACGACTGATCCTTACGGAATCCTGCCTGTTGATCTCGATGTTGGGCGTTTACTAGTCTAGCATTCGGTTCAGCAACACTATAAAAAACTTTACGTGGTATCAACAGTAGTGTGATGACTGTATTTTTCACATTTGCTCAGATCTTTTGGGGGATCTTGATGGGGTGTTCTTCTTTCCAGTCTGTCATTGGTATTTATTTTTCCTCCCAAATCTTCCTGAATAGAACGTGGATCATGTTTGCAGTTACTTCAGTGTCTGACTTCACTGCTTCAGATGGTATGTTATCAGGTCCGTAGACAAGCATAGGTATGTTAAAGCAAGCTAACAAGTCAGAAAATGCTGATTTGAATGTTGAACGAGATCATTAACTGGGAAGTATATTTTTCAAGCAAAAACTGCGTTTCATCAACCTACTATATGTTTAAAAAACGGACCATTGTGTTTGAAAATTCACAATATAATCCAGGTTGACCACATGTGTTGTCAGAGCTAATCCACCAGTTTCCGTTATTGGCTTTTTTAATCCTCGTTTCTCGTCAAATCAGTCGCTTAAGACCTAGGAAACAAATTAAATAATTTTTATGCATAAAACGCTGAAGTGCAAGTAAAAAAAATCGAAGCAATATGAATGTAAAACTATCTTGTCGCAAGCTTCTCATATTCAGTGACTTTATTAGAATGTTGATACGTTTTGCTGACAATTAATTACTATTTACATTTCTTTTAATAAATTGACAGTATGGTTATATGCAATACAAGTTACTTCATCTTGTGGAGTTTTGGTACAGTTTTTGGTAATGTTTATCGTCCTGAGTCAAGTAGCCGGTGCAATTTCTAAATCTGACCTCAAAAGTCTAAGATTTATCGCTTCAGGACATTTCTTCACAAGTAAGTATTATGTGACATTTTCGTATCTGGATAACTAAAATAAAAAAACTGACATTGATTCGTACGGTTACCACCTATTAGACAGATTACTTTTAAATTGTAGACGTAGGAGTTAAGGATTCATTACCAGATAATTTACTAAACATAAGCACCATGGTTTATGATAATTAATTACAAAAAAACACACTTTGCATTAACATTCCTTTAAAACATGCCTGTTATGAAATACATTATATTTAGGTGTGTTTACGCTTCACCAAGAAGATAAAAGTGAATTAATAATACTTACTGTTGTGAAATTCACTAACTGACTAGAGATCTGACTTCTAAGTTGAGTATTTTATAACTTCATAGTTGAAATCATGAGTCGATTGAAGCTACACCACCATGGAAAACCTGAAAGCACTGGACGGCCGTTTCGTCTTATTATGGAACTCCTCAGCAGTACGCATCCACGATCCCTCACTCGCGAGATTCGAACCCAGGACTTACCAGTCTCACGCCGTTCATAAGATCTGAAAGTAGACACTCACTTAACCAAGATTAATTTGACTATGAAAAATTCGCTTTTATCTCCTAATATTACGCAAAATTTAACGATCAAAATGTTGTATCTTTTTAATGTTGTTTGTAAAATCACAGGGATTATTTCAAAACTAGATAAAACTAAATTACTGATCTGTACTTATTTTATTCACCTCATGACTTTAGTGAAGAGGGTGAACTATATGGGTGAAGTATAACCTTAAAATTCGATCACAATAGCCTTTAAAGAAGCGTAATTTTAAACAAAGCGTTTGTTGTCTAATAAAAATATTAAGTTCTGTTTAAAAAAAATAAAAACTGCTGAGTCCCACAATAGGACTAAACGGCCGCACAGTGCTTCCAGGTTTTCCATGGTTGTCTGTTAAGATCTGTGACATGCACACCTATAATTATTTATTGACCTTAGGCAACTAAACATGTAAAGCTAGGTATTGTGTGTTTTTAGGTTATATTATAACTACACTATCTACCACCGTAAGTGAGGAAAGAAAGAATTTAATTTTAAATTGAGGTCATAAAGTTACTGAAAAGTATATATGTTTTTAAATACCCTAACTCTGAAAGGATATCTTCATAATATCTCTGTGTTCTAAATGAAGACTAGTCTAATAATAATGCCATTAGTGATAATTCAACTTGAATTTTGTATTGGCAGGAATCCTCCTGATATGTTTTGAAGTAAGAAGAAGTTAATTACTGAAGACACAGTGATCATAGGATGTGACTGAGCAACTAAAGGCTGAGAAAGGCTTGGCAATTTTTTTTTTAAACTTATTCATTTTGACTTAGATTTTGATCCTGAATATAAGCGATTGAAGTTAACATTGACAGACCGTTCTAGCAAATATGAAAAGTGGTATAGATTAGAAAACAGAAAGTCGAAATGAAAATATATTCGTCTGGTAGTGACTTTGGACTATTCAGATGAAACTTGTTAGGAAATAAAGATGGTTGGTAATGCTTTACTAAGTAGTAAATTTTTATTGTAGCCATTTGGTATATCTTTATGAAAAACTTAACAAAGTAGTTTCATTGACATTGCGCTACTTTTCGACTACTCTACAACTAAAATAAAATACCCATCCAAACAGTTTGTGTTAGTGAAATTACAAACAGTTTGTTATTATCGAAACAAAGTATAACTTAGCTTCAATGAACAAATCAGTCAGATTGAGATAACTGCTGTTGAATTTCCACGTAAAAAGCTATATAACACTTTTCGATCGTCGCTGATTTCAGTTGTTGATGAAAACCTGAGATCCGAATACTTGACCCTGACTCCAACCGATGACAGTATGAGGATACTTAAAAATGTATTTGGGTCCTTATAAGGCTCTGTAGGACAGATAATCTATATCCATAAGACCAGGTTTATATCCTGTTGCTCTTTAAACTTACAGGCTTTCACTAGTCGAGAACCTTAACAGCTCTAATAATTAGGTATAATCTGTTAACACTATAATATTATTATGTTTTTCTTTCTATAAACCATCAACTTAGTAAAGCTGTTTTGGCGAGACTATAATTTATGGACAAACCAATCAGATTTAAGATAGCAGGTCTTGCATTTTGGTGCGAAATTCATTCACTCATTTGGCTAAATACCATTTTGGTATTACAGCTGATGTCAGTTTGTGATGAAAACACTAAATCTAATTCGTAACTCTAACCATCAACTGTAAATCCTAGTCCTAATTCCTCAGACTTATATATAACCCTCATTTAACCCTACTAAGTGGACATTCCAAAGTCATTTAAGCGTTGCTCAAATATCGTCTATAAATCACAGTTTTACCGGTGCTCAAATATGTTTCATATTATGTTAAAGAAAAAAATGAGAAAAATGAAAACTAGTCAAGAACTGCATTATTCCTGCTTGAGTTCTCGAGTATCCAGTATCACAGTAACTTATAACCCTTTTATAGTAGCGCACGAGTATCGTTGTACTTTCGTTAGTTCAAACAACATTAGAACAGTCCATGGAGAATATCTGTGCAATTGGAAGTGTAGGTAACTCAAATGTTTGAGAAAAGTGGCGTTAATTAGTTATAGGTAATATATGAACTGTCGGTATGATGTTGTGAAGACCAATGAATTTCACTGAAATCACGAACTGATTTAAGTTAGAAAATCTTTCAAAACCTAGAAGCATTGAACAGCAAAAAAGGGCCTAAGTAAAAATAAATGAAGTTGCAACGGCTGCGTTTATGTAAGCAAAGACATTATTGTTTTATAACAAGCACTAAGCGGGTGTATACTTAAGCCAAACTAAATATACTTTTTCAAAATTATATGTAGAAAGTTAATTTGAATGAATAGAGCTTAATCTGGAAACAAGAATTGAGTTCAAGAAAAAGATTTGTTCTCGGCAACTTTATTCTCAAGTCTGTTCTATTATATATACATATACGACTATAATTTATGATAATGCCAATTATTTGAGTATAACAAAATCAATCAATATGCATATGTTACAATTGTGGTTTTTGCTATATAAACGACCCAGCTATTCCTATTGCTTAGTATTCCTATACGATGACACTCGACAAGACCCCAAAATCAGAACACGTTGAACAGAAATGAAATTGTATTCAAAATAATAATGATAAATGGACAGCAATCAATAGTTTAAATATCGTTCATATATTTATAGTATATGCATAAGAAGCTTATAGATTTTTCTGCAATAATATGCCCGGGCTGATCGGTTTAAAATTAACCAATCAGCGCGCAGCAACACCATCATGCATAAAACATGCTTAATCCAATCTATATCACACTAACAGTGTGGTGTGGTCTACTTATATCTATATAAGTAGTATATGGTGTGGGTCAGGCATAGAATGTATTTTGGCAGAAGACCGATGAGGAAAGAACTGAAATGAAGCGCAATCGTTTGGAAAATGCATGAGCAATGGAATAAGAGAAGAAACAGTGAAGATTGAAACAATTGGTTGTTAATTTGCAAATTGACTGTTCATTGTTTGGTAATCAGAATTTACTGAGATAGTCTGTAATGTTTGCTACAACAGCATACTTGCATTAACATTTGCTATCTACTAATGCATAGAACAATAAATATAACCAAGAAAAGTGGAAACTAATAATTCTTTTCGTTTGATTGATGACAATACCGTTATTCATCAGCTTTCTCTTAGTTGTTTGTATAACTACTAATTCTATCATCGCTTTTCACTAATTTAAATGTTATAGCTATATCGAAGAGAATATTTAACAATCGCGAAACTTCATTTCCTAAACTGTATGAAATACTTTGAGCTTTATACACTATGTTTTGTTAATTGACATTTTTGTCGCACTAAACGTTTTTGATTCATAGATTGGAAATAGTACGTAGTTTAACTCTCTCACTCGCTATCTCGTGAATTTGCATCTTATGTATTCGCATTTTATTTCAAAGTAAACATAAATATATGTAGATTATGTTAAGATATTCTTTATTTAGCCTTCATCCTATGATGAACGCTGAGCAAATGATCTTCTTTCTCTTCAACATAGTGTTTTGTTTGGACATAAATACACCTCAGGATCTATACTTTTTGTTCATTTTACGGTATATACTTACATAATAGTAAGTAGTTTGAATTTCATAGAAAAAATAAGTCAAACCAATTCTTCCCTTTGCATGATTTCCATTGTCTTGAGTGCCAACATATAATTACATCGAAAATATTTACTTAAGTAACTGCAAAAGAAACTCTATAAAGTATTTGAAAACATATGTATTAAGTGAGTTATTTCAATTATTAACCTTTCAAAACTAGAAACTAAAAACTAGTCGATCATTTACTACGCAAGCATATTTATCTTCTAAAAACAAATAGTTAAGTTAATAGTTTAAATGTGCAATCAAATTTGCCAGTAAACTCAATGTATACAGCTGTTATCACACCTCATATGATTGCATTTTATATCACCACCTGCAAACTATGTGAACTTAAAATAGTGCTTGTTCATCTATTAATTCCCTAAAACCATTTATAATAAACTATACATTAAGGTTATAGCGTATAAATCATTGGGTGTTTGGATTCTGTTCTCTACCTAGATATTGAGTCACATAGTTTAAACTTTCTACGCATCGATGGAATTAAGTCAGAGCTGGGAATTAATCATCATAATAGGCCTATAACATATTTGTATCATTGTTAGTTCAATTGAAGTATACTCTCATATGATTGTATAAGTAGAACTTTGTGATAGAATCATGTTTCATATACTGTACTCACACAGTCAAAATATTTTGGACCTAAAAGTGTGTTGTCGCTACAACCTCTCAAATAATCTTGAACGAATTTAGCATAAATTATTTCACTCATCCTTGTCAATATAAACAAAACGAGAACTTAATTTTTTCACTGCTAACTATTTGAAAAATATGTGATGAATAGATGTGAAAAGCTTTGGAAAAAAAATTAGTTAGTATATTACAGGTGATGAGAGACTTAACTAAAGGACTGGTGGACAAGTTTGAGTCTCTGTGAAAATGTCGATCAACTGAATGTTATAAATGCAACTTATTGGTAAACTCCAACAAACGCGAAATCTGATTAGACTAATCTTAGTTACTTTTTCAAATCCTGTTACATTTTTTAAATAGTACGCTCAAACTTCAAACTCTCTATTAATTCAGATATGAAGATGTATTTTGAAAGTCAGGCTAGCCAATGATGACAAGCGATATTAATTCGCTTCGTTTTGACTCGTAGACTATTATTATACGATTTACCATTGTTGAGTCATCCTTAATCCATTAATTACTGTTTCCCCTATTCACAGCCATATTTGGCTAAATCTTGTACAAATGTTATTTTCTATTTTATGATACGATGTGATCAGTTTGTTTGGTATATAAACCCAGTATGTTTGAGAATAATGATTCATATTGCAGAGGCTGTTATTAGTGTTCTGTACTTAACTGGTTGGGCTAAACAGAAAGCAGGACTTATATATACTCAAGACTGCTCATACGGCTTTTGTATATCATTGCTTTGATCGATAAATCTGTTATTCAAGCTAATCCATTGGTTTTATATGATGTTCATTTATCTGAAGGGGATTTTGTGGAGAATTCAGTACTTTTATAGTTGAAACCATGAGTCAATTGAAGCTAGACTACCATGGAAAACGTGGAAGCATTGGACGGCCATTTCGTCCTATTATGAGACTCCTCAGTAGTGCGCATCCACAATCCCTCCCTGCGAGATTGGAACCTAGGACCTATCAGTCGCGTGCCCTTAACCTCTAGACCTCTGAGCCGGCCGGTATTCAACGGTGTTAATGTCTAACTCCAACCAATTCACGATGTTTGAGCAACCGTTCACCAATTGTCTTCAGTGATAGAACAAATATTGATGCAGAATAATATGAATTCATTATATTTCGTGGTTTCTCATTGTTTTCAACTACGTCTATAAATTATTCAATCATTACGTAATCCCACCCTAATTGTTTTTTCAACTACGTCTATAAATTATTCAATCATTACGTAATCCCACCCTAATTGTTTTCATCTACCTCTAACATAATCACATTTTGATTTTATCTGTCTCTGAACTCCACTCAACTATTATGCTACCCTTTATTCTAATACCTAATAACCTCTGACCTTTCCTTGCCCATATATATATATATATATATATATAGTTATCATAGATGACTTTTGTTATTCCAATCCTTTACATTCCCTTATGTCAGTTGTTCCATTCTATTTATTACCCTAATGCTAAAACTCTAATGCATATTTGGTTGTAAGCAGCTGATGAGAAACCACGAAATATAATGAATTCATATTATTCTGCATCAATATTTGTTCTATCTTTATTTAAATTCATAAAGGGAACTAACTGCATGAAATGTCTTCAGTGAGTTGTTATCTCACAACAGACGTAGTTGAACCCATAATAGGACGAAACGGCCGTTCAGTACTTTCAGGTTTTCCATAGTGGTCTAGCTTCAATTGACTCATGGGTTCATTTATCTATTCAATATATTCCATTTATAATAACAAAATTGTGTTTTTTGCTTCCTTTGTTTCTTAATTATAGGTTTAACATTAGCTGCTGCATTAGTAGCATTTGCTGTAGCTAGATATGATAGTCGTTGGATGCCTTATCCTGAACTAAATACATTATCATGGTCTTATGCTTTCGGAGTTTTAAGTTTTATTTGTACATTTATCGGTTTCATAATAAGTTTTATTACATATATTAAATTGAATGATTTAATGAATCAACAGAATACAAATGAAAATCTATTAAATGATGAAGAGAAAATGGGTATTAGTTCACCACCACCACCACCACCACCACCAATACCACATACTTCTATATTAAATGAACCAAATTATTATACAGAACCACGTTATATGCCTGATCTATCACAATCAGCATTAAGTTATATTGATAGTTCAAATAAAAATTGGCATATAAAAGATTCTGAAATTACATATAATTTAAATAAACAAAATAATCATTTTAATAATTCAACAAATTCATATTTGAATACTTGATCTTATTGAAGTGATCCAGAAAAAAAATGTAAAAAAAAAATATTTCATTGGTTACTATTCTAACAATAATCTTTATTGATTTATATGAAAAGTATTTTTTGTTTTAAAACATTTATTTCTGTTGACCCTTTTTAATAAGAAGGTGAATGTATTAAGGTAAAATTTTAGAATACAAATTCAAATACATAAATTGAGTGTTTAAGTTTCTTACTTGCTTACTTACTTACTTACTTACTTACTTACTTACTTACTTACTTACTTACTTACTTACTTACTTACTTACTTACTTACTTACTTACTTACTTACTTACTTACTTACTTACTTACTTACTTACTTACTTACTTACTTACTTACTTACTTACTTACTTACTTACTTACTTACTTACTTACTTACTTACTTACTTACTTACTTACTTACTTACTTACTTACTTACTTACATACTTACTTACTTACTTACTTACTTACTTACTTACTTACTTACTTACTTACTTACTTACTTACTTACTTACTTACTTACTTACTTACTTACTTACTTACTTACTTACTTACTTACTTACTTACTTACTTACTTACTTACTTACTTACTTACTTACTTACTTACTTACTTACTTACTTACTTACTTACTTACTTACTTACTTACTTACTTACTTACTTACTTACTTACTTACTTACTTACTTACTTACTTACTTACTTACTTACTTACTTACTTACTTACTTACTTACTTACTTACTTACTTACTTACTTACTTACTTACTTACTTACTTACTTGTTACTCCCAATGGAACATAGGCGTTCTCCAACCCACTCACTCTGTCCTGCGTCTTTCTTTCTAGTTGTATCCAATTTTTGTTCATTCTTCTCATGTCTGCCTCCATTTCTCGGCGTAATGTGTCCTTTGATCTTCCTCTTCTCCTTTGGCCTTCAGGTTTCCATATGAGGGTTTGCCTTGTGATGTAGTTGGGTTTTTTCCTCAATGTGTGTCCTATCCACTTCCTGATTTCTTCCTCCATCAGAATCTGATTTGTTCTCTCCCATAGTAGATTGTTGCTGATAGTGTCTGGTCAATGGATCCGAGTTTGTACTCATTTCAAATTATTTCAATCTTTATTTTTTAAGAAAGTAAATTAATTTAAATATCACTATGGAATTGTGGAAATTATTATATTTTTGAATGAGATCATAAATCGATTGACGCTAGAATAGCACCTGAGTTTGAATCTCGAGAGCGAGATCGTGGATGCACACTTCTGAGGAATCCCATAATAGGACAAAATGGCTGTATAGTATTTCCAGGTTTTCAGTGATGGCCTAAGATCAATTGATTCATGATCTCAATTATAGAAATGTAATTTAAATATTTTGATTAAGTTCATAATACTATAATTAACTGTTATTTAAATAAGATGTTATGATAGAGTGCAAATATTTCAAAACTGTTCAAAGGAATCTACATCCAATCTACAGTTTGATTTAGCTTCAGTGTTTATTTTATTTTCAAGTAACATACATAAAGAGTAACTTAAATACAATTACCCACATTGTTGTATATTGCCACTGAGCATCAGATGTATATATATCATACGATGGCTCAGTGATTCAAGCTCTGAACATTTAACCACCGGAATACAGGTATACAACTGTATTTATTTAATGTCCAACTTCAATCGACCCATGATCTTGCGCAACCCCTCATCTGTTGTCTGAAGTGAATAACTATCTCACACCAGACACTGATTGGACTCCACTGGTCACGGCTTCTCACTAGAACCCCAGGAAATCCATCTTGAATCTAGTCACTAGTAAGCACATGGTTATTATCATTAAGGGGAGTCGTTGAGATTGAAGTATTTTTAACAATTGGATTCACGAGTCTATCTAAGCTAGATCATGGATCGATTGAAGGTAGACATTGACACCAATGAATGCCGAATCAGTTGTCTAAAGGTTAGGCGTTCATGCGCGAGACCAAAGGTCCTGGGTTCGAATCTCACATTCAGAGACGTGGATCCCATGATAGGACGAAACATCAGTCTGCTGATGCAAGGTTTTCAAATTTAGTCTAGCTTAGATCAACTCGTGAATTCAACTGTTAAAAATACTACGATCTCCACAACTCCCCTTACTGTATTTAGTTACTTAGATTCGATTAACCATTTGGTATCACTGACTTTAACCCATCACTTATTATGGACAGTCAGTACACAAATCCGTAATTTCATGATGAGTTATGTTTTAGAATATCTATGTAGCTATGGTAAAGCCTTAAATCGTAACACTTCGTAAGTAAAGTCAGTTACCGTAAAACTACAACTACGCCTTGTTATAAAAAGGTCTTCTCGCCAACTACCTCCAACTACCAAGCATCAAAATATGATTCGCGTGTTATCGGGTTAATTAGACTAGCAGTCACATTCTACTTTGATCATACTGAACAATCTCCACAAGCCCTCTAACTTTGTACATTTTCGATATTATTTTTACATAGTTGATTCTAAAGCAATCGATCTTTATTTCTAGCACATATATGGTGTTTCAATATTCCTAAAAATAGTAGTATAGTTAAGAACTCAACTTTTTTAACGCATACATCTCATATACATATGATTGTATTAATTATAATTATTTCCATTATCTTTTTCTATCTAACGTTCACTATAATTAAACTCTAAGTTCTTCCAATGAATGAGAGTCAAAATTCATAAGTGAATCCCAGAGAATTTATTCTCATATAAGTATGTTATGATGACTAGCATTTAATTACTTTATAGATTTTTTATAAGTTTAAAGAATAAATTACAATCATATTCTTTTTGTTAGCTGATATGCAAAAACAAAAGTTTGCGATATTTTACAAGATTTCTATAGGTTGAAAGAAAGCTAGGGGCGGACAGGCCAAAACGTGGCACGAATCCATGAAGTCACTGAAAATTGGACTGAGTCATGTTGGTAGGTGTAGATTACCTGGTTGGTACCCGCGAGATGATAACAATCGATGGGTAGAGACTTTGAATGACATGGCTTAAAATCGTTTGTAATGGCGAAGGTGCATCCATTCTTTGTGTTCTGCCTAATTCTAATATTCTGAATTCTTCCTGTCCCTTTCTTTTTTCTCCTTCCAGATTTATTTCATTGGTTTGTACTCCTTCAATAACATCTTCAAATCCTAATCTTTCACACAATGCTTATAATCTTACTACTTCTACCAATATGGGATTTGAATGGACAACTGCATCTCTGTGCTAATATGTTATGACAACTCGAACTGATGTAAGTACGCACGAATTTCTACGTTCTGACTGACTGACTGATTTAGTTAAACTGATTAGCATATTCCCATGTCAGTAAAATATTGTATACATCATGAAACTTAAAGCGATTTCAGTAACTTGTATAAAAAATCTCAATAAATATAGGTAGACTATTCGAAAAGAAGTATATTATAAGACAAAGGAAATATGATTCGTTACTCTTCAAATGTAGTTTATTTTATGGTATAAAATTAGCTTGAAATCTATTTAAAACCAGGAAGGAATGGACAACTGTTTTGTCCCTAGCTTGAGACTCTTCAACAATGAATATCCAGAACTTCATATGAAATCATAATCAACATCTCACTTTTATTGTTATCATTTAACAGATAGTTTAATTTGAAATAACAGCTCATTCAGACAATACCTTAACAATATGACTCATAAACGCTGATAAATGAGTAAATGAATCAATGCAATAGACTACTATCATAGTTCACTGAAATGAAAGTCACAAATACTTAAAGCTGAGAAAATGATTTTCCTTGATGTAAGTATATTCTAAGCTAAGATTATTGAAAGCAGAAATTATTTGTACACTGTTTAAAGCTTTTAAGGATTTTTGAATAAAGAGCAAATAATCGACATTTCTTGTCAAGTGTGTAGTTTTACATAAAATGACGGAATAATTACATGATCAGTATTTTAAAAACGATTACATCATATATCATCTTTGGTTAAAAGTGATTTTGATGTGTCTTAAAAATTAATTAATCATATTATGACGAACTGTTGAAAGATAGATAATGTAGAACAGTTGATTTATTGAAGCCTAGATCTCCCTAGTGAGCCAATCCTACGCGGTACTATTACATCTTCACATAACCAAATCTTATACATTTAATTATAACAGGATCCTCATGTGATTATAGAATATTAAACATTCCCATTGTGAAAATTAGAACAACACATGTAAGCGGACAATTGTTTTCAATTAAATCGTCATCAGGCTTTACTTTAATATACATGAATATTTATATGAAAATGTTAGATCAATCAAGGTTATTTGAGTCAATAATTACAATGAAATAGAATACGTCACCGAGCATAATAGTTAAAAGTACAAGTTGATAGTGGGAAAACAGGTGTATTAATAGTAGTAAGAATATTAAATTACGATAACAAAAGTCTTATCAATAGTTAAACTTTGGAAATAGGAGGTCAAACGTGGGTAAATAGACTGCTGAGAAGTCCCATAATAGGACGAAACGACCGTTCAGTGCTTCCAGGTTTTCCATGATGGTCTAGCTTTAATTGACTCACGCTTTCAACTATGAAAATACTAAATCTCAATTAAAAACCCCTTCTGATAATTAATATAATCATATGCTCACCAGTGACTAACTTCGAAAAGTGCATCCAGGAGTTCTAGTGAGAAGCAGTGACCAGTGGAGTTCAAACCACGTCTGTTGTGAGATAGGAACTTACTGAAGACAATTGATGAACGGTTGCTCAAACTTCGTGGATCAGTTGAAGTTAGACATCACTACTGTTGGAAGCCGGCTTAGTGGTCTATCAGTTAAGGGCCCTGGCTCGAGACTGATAGGTCCTGGGTTCAAATCTCGCGAGTGCTGGATCTTGGATGCGCACTGCTCAAGAGTCCCATAATAGGACGAAACGGCCGTTCAGTGCTTTCAGGTTTTCCATGGTTGTCTAGCTTCAATTGACTCACGCTTTCAACTATGAAAATACTGAATCTCCACAAAACCTCTTCTGATAAATAGATTTAGATTAGTGATCATAAAACATTAAAACCTTTATGTGATAAGAAGTATGTAAATAATTAGGTAGTGAAGAATATAAACAGAAAGAGGCTGAAAATTGCAAGCAAATGATAACAAAATCCATTTAGTATTGTTTGTTTGAATCTTCCC